TTCTTGATCTTTGTGGTCGATTCTTGCAAGAAGGAGGTGTTTCCAGCATAGAGGAGACCAAGGAGGTGGTGCATCTGTGGGTTTCGAGCAAAAGACTTCATCTTTGAGGTACTATATCGCCCCTTTATCTGTTTTGTTGAAGGAATCCATAGATGTAGAGTTTTCATGTCCTTTAAAGGAAGAAATTGCGAGAATATGGCCCTTATTCTTTTTGAGACTTCGGATCTGGACCCATAGTGGTCTAAAGAGCTTATCTCAGCTTTCTTTATGTTGAGCTATGGAGGTGTTGACCTTAGGATGTCATTTTTGAGGCTAAATCACCAAGTAAAACCTCCTAGATGTCCCATGAGTGCCAAGATTCGAGCTTTACGTATTTATCAGGCTTGCGAAGGTTAGATCTATGGATCAAAGGAATAGATCTAACCTTAGGAGGTCAATTGAGTTTGTGCATGGCATGAACTCGCCGAGTCCAAGGGCAGACTCGACGAGTAGGGTTAGGGATTCCCGTAAATCACTCAGTGAGTAGACTTGTCGAGTTGAGGGAATAACTAAGTGATTCATATAGGGATTAGAGGACTGGAGTTCAAGGCAGAACTCGCCGAGTTGATCTTGAGACTCGGCGAGTTGAGACGGGGTGGCCCCGCGATTCATGCCAGGTGTGACTCGTCGAGCAAGGGGAGGGACTCGACGTGCCAAGTGAGACTAGAGAGTTAGTGGACACGTGTAGACTTGCCGAGTCGCCCAAGTGCACTCGACAAGTCAGGTCAAAGTTTGACTGTTGACTTTTATTGACTTTTAGGGTTTGGTCAACAATGAGGGCCTTTGAGCCAAAAGAGGGGTAAAATGGTCTTTTACCCTTATGAAGGTGCCAAGAGAGGATTGAGTCTAGTACCGAGAGTTATATTTATGAGAGTATTTACTTTATGTGATTAGGCGAAGGCTAGATCGTATTTCTCCCGAGTCAGAGATTTACCGAGAGATCTGAGGTGAGTCTTCTTACTATACTTTACCTGGAGTGGTAATTAGATTTATGTAACAGAGTTATTGTATGCTATTTATGTGATGTATTGCACTGTATTATTTCTATGTGATTTATGCCATGTGTATATGAGAGTTAGAACCAGAAGGTTCACAGAGCTAGGACCAGAGGGTCCACAGAGTTAGGGCCTAAGGGCCCACAGAGTTATAGCTGCGAGTGGCTAGTATGTGTTATGTATGGTATTCTGGGGAACTCACTTAGCTTTATGCTTATAGTGGTATGTGTTATGTGTTTCAGTTACCAGTGATGATCGCGGGAAGGCGCCGGCATGATCTGTATACACATCCGTGGAGTTTATTATGATTTGATCTTAGGAAATGTTTTGTGAACAATGATATGATACAATGATATTTTATTAATGAATGTTTTTGGAAATATGTTTTAAAATGCGAAAAATTATCTTAAATTTTACGGTGTTACAAATGTACACAGTATGCCAAAATTTCTTTGTTATTTTAAAAAGAACTAAAAATTGGCATATATTATTACATAGGTTTGAAATAACCTTTTGTTACATTATTCCCCCGTTAGAGAGAATTTCGTCCCGAAATTAGCATTTTAGATAGAATAGGGAAAATATGTGGATATTTTTGTTGCATTTGATCCTCCCGCTCCCAAGTGAATTCAGGTCCCCGTTTTGCATTCCAGCGAACCTTCACTATTGGGATACATCTTTGTTTGGTTTTCTTAACTTCCCTGTCTAGAATCTCTACGGGTTGTTCCACAAATTCGAGGATCTCGTTTAACTCAATTTGCTCGAGTGGGATCAGAAAAGTCTCGTCGGATAGATACTTTTTCAAGTTCGAAACGTGGAAGGTAGGATGAATGTTACTTAGTTCTGGGGGGTAGTCGAAGTTTGTAAGTTACAGGACCGATTCTAGAAAGAATCTCGATTGGTCATATGTACCTTGGATTCATTTGTCATGCTTTCCAAAGCGTATCATTCCCTTACATGGTGAGACCTTCAACAATACGCGGTCACCAACCTGGAATTCCAAGGGTTTTCTCCTTTTGTCAGCGTAGCTTTTCTATCTATCTCTGGAAGCTTTAAGTCGCTCCCGAATTTGTACGATTTGCTATATAGTCGCTCGAATCATTTCTGGACTGGTGAGAGTACCATCAGGAGTTTGACCTCTAGCTAGCTGCATGTCACCCACTTCAGCCCATCACAGAGGTGATCTGCACTTGCAACCATAGAGCGCTTCGAATGGAGAAGCCTTTATGCTAGTGTGATAACTATTGTTATAAGAGAATTCGACAAGGTGTAAATGAGTATCCCATGCCTTTCCAAAGTCTATCACGTAAGCTCGCAACCTTCTTCTAATGTTTGAATCGTCCTCTCACTTTGTCTGTCGGTTTGTGGATGGTAGGCTATACTCATGACCAACCTAGTTCCCAGAGAGTTTTGTAAAGACTGCCAGAAACGAGAGGCGAATCTACTATCTCGGTTAGGAATAATAGATATTGGCACACCATGCAGTCTAACAATCTCCTTGAGGTAAGTTCTTGTTAGCTTCTCCATCTTGTTGGTTTCTTTTATTGGCAAGAAGTGTACGGATTTGGTTAATCTATCAAAGATTACCCAAATAGTATCATAACCACCTGATGTTTTGGGTAACTTAGTTATGAAATCCATTGTAATCCGCTCCCACTTCTATTCAAGGATTTCAGGTTTGGCACTAATAAGGCACTTGCCCACAAAGTAGCAATTTCGGCCTTCATGTTAGGCTACCAACATAGTTTGTTGAGGTCCAAATACATCTTGTCTAAACCTGGATAAATGGAGTATTGGTTTTTGTGTGCTTCATTCATAACCGCATCTCTGTAACCACCAAACTTTGGTGTCTAGATTCGGTTCATGAAATAATAGACTCCATCATCCCTGACTTTGAAATTCTTATACATTCCCCTCAAGGTTTCACCTGCCATGTTTTCAGGTTTTAAGGCCTCGAGTTGAGCCTCTCTGATTTGTGTGGACAGATGTGAATAGATTTTCATGGTCAACGACTTTACTCGGTCTCCCTAGTATTTTTTTATGCAAAGGGTGTCAGCTACTACATTTGCTTTACTAGGCTGATAAAGAATTTCACATTTGTAATCATTCAGTAGATCCACCCATCGCCGTTGTCTCATATTCAACTCTTTCTGATCGAAGATATGTTGGAGACTTTTATGGTCCGTGAATATTTTGCATTTCGTGCCATATAAGTAATGTATCCAAATCTTTAGAGAAAACACCATTGCTCCTAGCTCAAGGTCATGTGTTGTATAGTTGACCTCATGCGTCTTAAGTTGTCTTGAGGCGTAGGATATAACCTTTCTTCTTTGCATAAGAATACACCCAAGCCCTTGATTAGAAGCATCATAGTACACTACAAAGTCCTCAGTCCCTTCAGGTAGAGAGAAGATCGGTGCACTGCATAAAGCTCATTTCAGTGTTTGGAACGTTGTTTCTTGCTTCTCTCCCAAACTAAAAGTTACACCCTTTTGTGTTAGGGTGGTAAGTGGTTTAGCGATTCGGGAGAAATTTTGGATGAATTTGCGATAGTAGCCAGCAAGACCTAATAATTGATAGATTTATGTAGGTGTTTTGGGTGTTGACCTGTTTTCAATTGCCTTTATTTTAGAAGGGTCGACATGTATTCCTTCTGAACTGACCACATAACCTAGGAATTGAATCTTCCTAATCCAAAATTCACACTTTGAAAACTTCGCATAGAGTTTCTCTGATCTAAGAGTTTGCAACATTTGAAGAAGATGTTGGCCATGTTCCTCTTCACTTCTTGAGCAGATAAGGATGTCGTTAATGAAGACTATGATGAATTTTTCCAGGAATGGACGACACAATTAGTTCATTAGGTCCATGACCACAAAAGGTGCATTCGTCAATCCGAATGGCATCACTATAAACTCGTAATGACCATAACGAGTTCTGAACGTAGTTTTGGGAATGTCCTCCTCCAAAATCTGTAACTGGTGATACCCAAATCTTAAGTCTATTTTCAAGAAGTAGTGCGCACCTTGAAGTTGGTTGAATAGATCGTCAATGTGAAGCAGAGGATATCGATTCTTGATGGTAAGTTTATTCAGCTTGTGGTTGTCTATGCACATGTGGAATGATCCATCGTTCTTCTTTACGAACAAAAGCAGTGCTCCCCAGGGTAAGAAGCTTTGTCCTATGAAACCTTTGGTTAGGAGTTCGTTAAGCTGGCTGGATAATTCCTGCATCTCAGAAGGTGCAAGATGATAAGGGGATTTGGCTGCAGGAGTAGCCCCAGGGATTAAGTCGATTTAGAATTCGACTTGTCGTTTGGGAGGCACTCCTGGAAGATCGTCGGGAAAGTTGCAGACCTTAGGAATGCTTGCGATGTCTTTCACTTCATGCTTTTTTTTACCACGTGAGCTAAGAAAACACAATACTCCTTGCGAAGGTATTTATGTGCCTTGATGCAAGAAATGATATGAAGGTTCGTTCCGGGTTTGTCGCTGTAGATAATAAGAGTTTCATTAGTTGGCAAGTTCAAGCGAATAACTCTAAAACGGAACCATTTTACTCTTGTGAAACACAATCTGCCATATTTTTGGCATGTTGTATTCTACACAACTTTTTATTAGATGAAGACCGCGACATAAATCTTGAAGATGAGGTGATGCAAGAGATCTTAAACGGATCACAAGAGCAAGATCGTCGTAATTCAACAGAAACAAATGAGGGTAATAGAATGGCAGAGCAACTAAGGAATTCAATTGCAAATGAAATGTGGGCAAATTATTTGACACATTCAAACAATTAAATTAATATGTAATACTAGTTTCATTTTGATACATTTTGTTTTCAATTTCACATTGTATTGATGATTGGTTTTTGAGATTAATTATGTTATTTACCCATCATATTTTTTATTAGTATTATCCTTCATATTGTGGTCTAACAATGTACCATTCTTTAATTTTTATTCCTATGTGCAAAGTCATCATGATCAAACAGGAAGCTGGTGGTAGTGAAAAGGAACAAGTTAAATGGTCAGAAATAATGGATTATGCGTACATCCAAGCGATGATTAAACAACAAGAGACACACAATAGGGTCAATGGTAGTTTCACACCAACTGCATATGCTCAAATGGTTGAGGAGTTGAACACAAACCATCAAATGGATATTACCAAAAGTCATTTGAAGAATCGCTACAAAACCTTAAAAAAACATTTTTCGCAATGGTACGATCTGTTTAGGGGAATTTCAATGACGGGTTCTCTTGGAATTCGTCTACTCAACTAATAGAAGCGGAGGAAGAAGTATGGGATAATTTAATAAAAGTAATTGTTCCTTTTATGTCTATGTTATTTTTTTAAAATATTTTATGTTATCGTTTGCAATACTAATTATTTTTGTGTTGCTATACAGTCAAAACCTGAGGCTGTGTCGTTAAGGACAAAAAAGATTGCATACTTCGATGAAATGTTGGTATTATTTGCAAAGGATAGGGCATCTGGTGCACATGCTGAGACAGCGAAAGAAAAAAATGCCCGATTAAATAAAAATGAAAATATTCAAGTTGAAACAATTAAAGAAGTTGATGACACGTTAGCTAACAATGAAATTCATTTGGAGAACGAATATGTTGATCTTGATGATAACATTCAGGATGTTATTCCACCTCCTTTTTCACAAGAACAGTCTTCATGTGCAAAGAAGTGTAAGAGTAAAAAGAGGAAATTTGAAGACGACGAAGAAGAAGAAGATATTAACTCAAAGATAATGAAATCGGTTGATAATGTGGTTGGTGCTATCAGAGAGGGTAATATAATTTTTGATAGAGCTTATCCTCGGGAATATACAGGGGAAGAAATTTATAGAGAATTGGAGTTGGTGGGTTTGGAACCCCATGAATTACCGAGGGCTCTAAATATTTTGGCAACAAATCAAGCAAAAGCTAGGATATTGTTCAGTTGTCCCCTTCAGATACGGATGTGTGTCCTCAAAGATATGATGGGTGCACATGATTAAATAACCTTGGGTGATTGTTACTGGATTGATCTAATGCGTTTATGATTTTGGTTTTTATTTTTATTTTTTTGAGTTGTTTGTGGTTTTCGTTTTGCATCTTGAGAACAATTGAATAACATGCGGTTTTCCTTTTTACAATTTACTTTATATTAAAATAAAATTGTTTGTTAATGTTTTAAGTAGAGGGGAGGAAGGGAGAGTTGGTTTTTTTGGGGTAGGGGGTACGGTAGAATGAATGTGGGGATGTAAAGACTTAATATTTACTCAAAAACATAAAAGGGTATAATTGTCTATTTTACTTTCTTTTCTTTCCTTTAATGAACTCGGGAGCACCTAAAATGAATACTCTCTTTTTCTTTCTTTCAAACTCGGGAGCACTGAATACTTTATTATTTCTGTTCCCTTCCTTTTCTTTTCTCTCCTTGTTCTTCCTTTCTTTTCTTTTCTTTCCTTTAATGAACTCGGGAGCAGGGTGTAAGGGAAATTATCGAGCATCTGCTCAATAGAATCTTCAAGTCGGTCTCCAAGTTTTTTCTCCATTTTCTCTTCATCTTCCTTCAACCATAAAATAGCATGCACCTCTTCTCTCACGGTCATGTAATCTTTTGCTAATTTCTATATTCACCGGATTACAAATAATTCGTTAAACAAAAACGAAATATTGATTGTATTTCTAATAGAAATTGGTGATGACTAATGATAGAATGGATCCAAAATACTAAATTACGTTGCCTTAATTAGTAGCCACAATATAGTACGTTATTTTTCTATGTAATTTTCTCGTTTACACATGCTTTGCTTGTTTTTGGAATTAAAAGATCCACCAATGTATCTTGAAAAACAATATACCATCCTTGCCCAATCATACCGAAAGTTATAAAAATTACTTTTTTTTCTTTCATATGTTTACTTATATCATATAACATTATATTCAAATTACTCCTTTATAAGGTTAGAGGTATCAATGATATCTAAAACCCAAAGCTACAAAAGAGTCCATATTGATTTATGATACTCAAAACAACTAAAATTTTAAGTGGTACTTCAGATTTTTCTTATTTCCCCTTTTCCCTTTGGACCTTTTTCCATTCTCTTTAACAAAAAATGAAGTATATGGAAACATGTGTGTAAGCTCGAACACCCATTTCATGGATACAATGTGATTAAACATAAGGAAGGTTGCCTGCAATTTAAAACTAACACAAACAAATAATTTTGTTATTGTTATTTCTAGTTTTGATTATGTCAAGGAGAATCATGTAATCGAAAGTTTTTAACCACATAATTTGCATAACTTATCGCCAAAAGAAAAAAAAAAAAAAAAAAAAAAAAAAAAAGAGAATTATCGTTCACCTCGAGAAGCACATTCGCAAACCTCTCATGTGCATAAAATCAATTAGTGTTCCTCTAACAACAGATGAAAGTTCAAGTAAACCAAAATCAACAACCTAATAAAATATAAAATCATAACTATCATTCAAACAATTTTTGGTAAAATAAAATAATGGAATGATACTTGATACCCTTATGGTTTTACTTTAACTTCTGAAGGGGTTTTTAAGGAATTTTTTACAGGCTTTCCTCCATTACTTTCATGGCCAAAAGCTTTGCAAAGTGCAAATCTTTAACATCTCTGCACCCAAAAATAACAACATAAATGAAAAAAGAAATCAACAAACCCAAAAATCAAAGCAACACAGAATAATAAGGGTGCGTTTAGTTCATGGAATGCAACAAAACTGAAATTTGAGGTTCCATTCCATGGTGAATTTGGTTGTCAAAATGAATGGAATTCAATTTTAATTCCATTCATTTGGAAAACATTGATATCTCAATAATAAGAACATTATAAAAAGAAGATGAAAAAAGTATGATGCTATAATAAACTAATAAAGTAATCATTGGAATACAATGTTATTGTATTATGAAGCATGAAGTACTTTCACTGGATCTTTATTATACCAACCCATCAAATATTGCTATCAAATGGTTTTCCTTGCCCTTATAAATAAATATTATTATCGTTAATAAAGGCAATTATTTAAAAAAAAAGTTTTCAAATTGATTAATTTTTGCATCATTGTATAAATGGTTTACCAAATGTTTTTTACAGTAATCATAAAAGAATAATAATAATTTAGTGGCTAAATCATTAAATGTAACAGTTCGATACATAAATTATAAACAAAAGTTTATATTTTTTTAGTATAAAGAGAAATATGCAAATACTTTAAATTTAGTAATATACACGTATATATCCTTATATTTTCTAACTATTTTTATTATTATACTTTGAAAATCAATGAAAAGTGTTTCGAGTTTTGGATAACACGGCTATAACTTGCTTCATTTTTTAAATAACAATGTGGTAATATGAAAATAAGAAAGTAGGATGCTACAACACAAAAAGAAATTAAAGTATTTAAAATTCATAATACAAAAGATAAATTTATAGAAAAGTGTTTATAAAAACATTCTATTCAAGGTAAGCACTCCAAACCCAATGAATTTATGTAGCATCAACCGTACTGAAAGACTATACAGAGGAGAGAAGACAATACAGAAAGCGTGTGGAGAAGAAATATAACAGTGAAGAAAAAACCCCAAATTAAGTGTCAATCAATATACTGCAGAATATATATAGAGTAATTACAAGGGTAAAATAGGAAATACACTCAATTAGGGAAAAGATTTTGCCTTAATTACAGGACATAAATGCTTGATTACCAAGCCTAACAACCATACTAAAAATATATAAAACAAATTCTCTTGTTACAATATTTACGCTTCCACCCCCCCCCCCCCCCCCCTCAAGTAAGACGTCCGTAAGGGAGGCGCAACTTGACAAATAAAGCATTAAACCTGACTTTAGAGAGGCCCTTTGTGAACAAATCTGCTAACTGATCATCGGTGGATATATAGTGTAACTTTAAAAATCCACGAGCGACCAGTTCTCTTATGAAATGATAGTCTATCTCAATGTGATGAGTACGGGCATGAAATACTGGATTGCGAGTCATATGTAAAGCTGATAAATTGTCACAAAAGAGAGAGGGAGGATGAAGAAAGATATGTAAGTCATGAAACAAGTAAGAGAACCATCTAAGTTCTGTTGTAGTAGTAGCAAGGGCACGATATTCAGCTTCACTGCTTGATCGTGAGACGGTCGGCTGTTTCTTGGTGGTCCAAGATACAAGACTTGGGCCAACAAAGATACAAGTACCTATTGTAGATCGACGATCATTCGGATCTCCTGCCCAATCCGAGTCAGAGTAGGCTCGAATGTAGAAAGATGTTGACACGTAGAATGACAAACCCTCCTGTAGTGTGCCTTTAATGAACCTTAGGATACGTTTAGCGACTTGTAGATGAGAAGTACGAGGTTGGTGCATGAATTGACATACTTGATTGACTGAAAATGCAATGTCTGGTCTCGTAAGTGTGAGATATTGTACGCCACCAACCATGCTGCGATACTCAGTAGCATCTGGAAGTAGTTCACCCTCATGTAACGACAATTGAGAATTGGGAGCACTAGGAGTAGTAGCCGGCTTGCATCCAGTCATGTTGAATCTCGTAACAACCCATTGTGTCAAGTCAATGTAATGTCTAAAAGTCGAGTCTTGTAATCTTTTTGTGAAGTAATAAGAATATCATCGAAAATGAAATGTTCAAAAAGCTCCGTTTGAGTACACTATGTGGTAGATATCGTGATAAGGTTTCCAAAAATATAAAGAACACTAAAATCCAAGTTATAACGAAGGAGTTATGACCAATAAAAGATTCGTAACACTGCCGGTAAAGCGTTGTTAAGCATAAAACGAGAAATTTCAATAAAATAATTCTTAGCCTTAGGTATCTATATGAAAGTCGTAGATATCATTAAACCGTGAACATACGCAAAAAGAACGCCCAAATCTAACTTCGTATGAGGAAGTTATGATTTTACGAAGTTTTTGACCTAGCAGTAGACAACTAAAGACTTGAATGAAAGATCGAGCGATCTTTAGCTAACACAGCCTAAACGAAAGTTGAAAACCCTGACAATTGGAATACAACGGTAAAAAGTCAGATAAAATCGGACACCGGATAAAGAAGTTATGGATTTTTTAACGGAATTTTCCAGTCCCGGCCCGCTAAAAAGGTATTATTAAATATAAATTCAATACTAGCCGACGGAGTCTAAATGAGAGTTGTAGAGTACAGTCTCACCTACGCGTAGATATAAAGAATGCCAGAAACGGAGTTCGTATGCGAAAGTTACAAAATTTAGAAGTTCTATAAATCGAGTTACGCTCCGCGTAAAGGGTACGCCCAGCGTACCAGGCGATAAGGGCGTAGTCCCTTCGGCAGCAGACATCCCTGCGTGCGTCAGTCGGCTGACGTAAGCGTTGTTGTACGCTACGCCCCGCGTAAGAGCGTACGCCCAGCGTACGGAGGCGGTTCAGCCTCCTATAAAAGGGAGGCTAGGGCTCCAATTTTCTTATTCAATTCTTCTCCTTTCCCACGCTTTTGCTCTATGTTTTTCCATTCGAATCCATCCAGACACCTCGGTTTTCATACTCAAGATCAAAAGGAAGTTATAAACTCCTGAGATTCCCGAGAATTCAACTCTCACTAGTCGAAGTTCTGCTCGATTCTTCTCTCGACTACTTCAAAACAACCACTTTAATCAAGTGAGTGCATACCCCCTTTTATACACCTTCAAATACTTTATAATGTACTTTAAATACATTTCGGGGGAGAATACAAGTAAACACACAGTTGATCCCGAGTGAAAACATGAAAACTCTTGTTATACTTTGCATTCATTAGACTTATACAAAATGCAAAGCATCCAGGGTAGCCATCCTTGTTAAACTATTTTATGCATTCAAAGAACTTATGATTTATGCTTTGTCAAACATTATGAAAGAGGATAAACATTGCATACAAAACTATTATTTTAATACAGACTTAGTTGAGAATCCGTGAGACGATTACATCTTCCATGCTACCTT